AACTCTCATACAAACAAAAATCAAACAATATAGTGATGCCAATATACAAGCTAACCAACCACCTTGTTAGTGTGCTGTTCCTCTATACAAAGATATGGTTTACAGAGAGAAGAAAAGAGAAGAAAAGGAAAAGGAAAAAAGAAAAAAGGGAACAATACAGTAGGAATGGAATTAAGTCATTAAACTGATAGAATCAATGAAGCACACTCTGAGACATTTCGTTTAAGTCCAATGTCCTTTCAGGTCTGATTTCTAGTTTTCTTTTCAAGCTGGTAAATTAGTTTGCAGTTAGAGTCAATTGCCCCTGATCTGCTGTGAAGGACAGTTCAGATTAACCTTCCTTCAGCAGTTTGGTCTATGTCTTTATCAAGCTTGTTTCTCCCATTTCGGTGTTGTTACCTTGAATCGCCAGCAGGTGGTGCTATCTCATCTGCTCGCCCCAGAGGGGGTGGGGCCGGACAGGAACAAGATGGCTGCCTGCCCCTGAGCCGGCAACAGGAGCCCCACGCCAGGGGCAGGACAGTCTCGGACGCAGGATAGGTGGCAGCAATCCCAGCAGATCTTCCCTGAAGCGGTTTGTTGTGGATCTCCTCGGGCCAGGTGGTGTGATGTGCTACCCCTCCCAGAGGCTGCGGCAGCAGTGGCGACAGCGACGGCAGCGGCAGTGGTGTAGAGTCAATATCTTTTTTGGGTTTTCCTAGAAGCTGCTTTATGAAAGTTGGCACTCCTATGTTGGATGTATATATGTTTAGGATAAATATTTCCTGTTGATGGAATGAACCTTTTATCATTATTTACTGGCCTTCTCTTTTTTAATTTTTGATAGCTTAAAGGGTATTTTGTCTGAAATTAGGATCATGACTCCTCCTGTCTTTTGTATTCCGTTCACCTGAAATTTAGTTTCCCATCCTCTTACTTTGAATCTGTGAGTGTTCTTTCTAGTGAGATGGGTCTCTTGAAGGCAATATACTGTTGCCTGGTGATATTTTATCCATTTTGCCATTCTGTGTCTTTTCAGTGGTGCATTTAGTCCATTCACATTCAGGCTAATTATTGAAATGTGAGAGTTGATCGCTATCATAAGGTTCTTATTGAGTTGTTGTTGTTGTTCCTCTTTGTTTGCTGTCTTTCTTTGGTTTTGGGGTTGGTTCTTGTATGTTTTACTCTTTTTCCTGTACTCTTGTGAAGAATGTTGTTGTTTTTTTTCCCTTTTCTTCTGTGTTTAGTACTTTCTTAAGTGTTTCTTGTACAGGTGGTCTGGTGGCAGCATAAGTTCTTAGGGACTGGATGTCTGGGAAAGATTTTAATTCTCCCTCACTGATGAAGCTGAGCTTGGCTGGGTAGTTTATTCTTGGTTGAAATGGTTTATCTTTTAGAACTTTGAAGACAGGGCTCCAAGCTCTCCTAGCCTGCAGGGTTTCTGTAGATAAATCTGCTGCTATTCTAATTGATTTTCCATGGTAGGTGATCTGGCCTTTTTCTCTTGCTGCCTTTAGGATTTTTTCTTTTATACCTACTTTGTTTAGGCAAATTATGTGTCTGGGAGTTGGTCTTCTCATTTGTTGTCTTGCAGGGGTTCTCTGAATCTCTTATGTTTGAATTTTCACATCACTGGTGAGATGAGGGAAGTTTTCCTCAATAATCTCATGAAATGTTTGTTCCAGGGTGACCTCTTTCTCTCTTTCTTTTTCAGGAACTCCAATTAGTCTTAGGTTTGGTCTCTTGAAGTAATTGCTTATCTCTTGAAGGTTTTGTTCTGTCTTTTTAAGCTTCTTTTCTATGTTTTTGACAGTTTGGGTTAGTTCTATATTTTGTCCTCAAGCTCTAAGATTCTTTCTTCTGCTTGACTAATTCTGCTTTCCATGCTTATCAGTTTGTTATTTATTTCATTCACAGTATTCTTTACTACTGTTATCTCAGCTATCAACTCCTTTCTAATTTCTTCTTGTCTCTTCTCAATTATTTTTAATCTCTCCATTAATGTCTTGATATCTAGGTTTGTAGTTTGAGACCAGTCATTCTGGGGGCTCTTCATTGTTTGCATTCCGAAGTCAATTTTCTCAGTGTCTGCCCTCACAGGGGTCTGGGAGAGACCCATATCCTTCTTTTGAGTTTTCTTCATTTGTTTAGATTTTTTTCTCTCTCCCCCTTTCCCTACCCTTCTTTAATTCTGCTTTTCATGGAAGGTGGGGTTGCTTTTACTTCTTTTGTTCAATTTTCTGTTCTTCCTTATGAGGGTTCTCTGGCTTTTTTCACTTTTGAGGCTGGACTGTGGGACTATACTTTTTGCAGTTTTGAGGTTTAATTGAGGGGAAGCTGTGATTCTTAATCTATCTGCAGATCCCAGTATCCACCAACAGGTGTATGGGCACACTGGAACCCATTTCCCACTGCCTTACAATCTCTCCGTGCAGCAGGGTTTAGATTTGCTCCCTGGAACAAAATGAAGTACCAAAAAGGAAAATAATGGAAGAAGGGGGGTCAGGAGGAAGTTAGAGAGAGAGAAATGTGAGAGGGAAAACAGATATACATACCAACTAATGAGTGAAAAAGAGACACAAGGCCAGAAAAGAGTGAAAAACAGACACACAAACAAAATTCCCTAAAGCATACTGGTAATCATATAAAGACAGTCCAATAAAATCATGCCTTTTGATGCGTTTTTCCCCAAGACAAACAGGAAGTCTAAATCAAAAAGCAAACAAAAGTGAACAAAACAAACAGTCAAAACAATGAAATCAGAAATCAAAATAAGAAACCAGACTAGCTCTGGAATCTTTCCTGAGTGTCTAAAGTCTCTTCAGCTCTGATCTCTAGCCTCTCCCCTTTGCTTTCATTGCAGGCAGATAGAATTATTCCAAGCTTGGATTGGTTTCCCTGGTTTGCTGCCTGAGAAGTCTGCATCTGGTCTGAGTTGCCTGTATCTGATTCAGCATGGGGGAGGGGTTTTCATCTCCTGTTTAGCGACATTACCTTAGAAACCAAGGTGGAGGCTGCTCGTAGGTGGGCGGGGCAATGCAAATCTCTGCCTAGAAAATGACTGAGGTGGGCAGCTCCTCTTTCAACAATCCTTTCTCTCCACCCATCCTTTCTCTCCACTCACCTGGGTCTATGGGTTATCCACTATGATGGGTTGTGGGATCAGCAACACAGCTGTGCGTTGGATCTGGTGTGCTGCCAGGGTCCTGGATTGGAGGAGGGAGCTGGGAATTCCCTCTTCTGGAGCTGAGAGTGACTGATCAGCACCACCTTAAGATATACTGTTCCCTTATACATCTACAGGGTCCCACACTGGGTGCCTCAGCCAGAGTGGGGACCGGAGCTTCAAAGGGCAGGTGGTGAGTGGTGACAGCAGCTTTGGGTCCCACACAGGGCAGGAATGGAGCTGTATCTCTGAGGAACAGGCACCTAGAGCCTCCCTGGGTGATGGCAGCTTGAAATAGGGCTGGGTGGAGGCCCAGAACCCAGGGTGGAAAGCTGGAACTCTGAGGAGTGAGCACCAGGCCCCCTGGATTGGGTGCCCAGTCAGAGAGAGAGAGAGCTGGCAGTGGCTGAGTGCCGGGCAGATCAGTGTAGCCAGCAAGGGAACCCAGATCTCCACAAGGCAGTATCCCAGGGCCGCCAGGTGAGATGTTGTAGCTGGGGAGGGAGCTGGGATCTCCACACGGCCGGGTCTGGGGCCGCCAATAGTGGAGCAGTAGCAGTTGAGAGGCCTCAATAGCCGGGCTTGCATGGGTCCGAGGGTCTCCAGGCCTCAGACAGGTGTGGCTGGAGGTGGACAGGAGGGTGGTGGGGGAAGGAAAGTAAGAGTCTTTTTGGGAACTCACTTTCGGGGAATCTCAGGGTCCTGCCTATGCCATCGCCATCTTCTATTTACATTTCTTACAGTGTCTTTTTTTTTAAGTATTTTCCTCATTGTGACCTCATAAATTACATGAGTATGCCCTAAATAATTTCTTTCAATATGGATAAGTAGCATAAAGGTTGCTTTCTTACTTAGCACTGTTCTTTCTTTCTTTAAGGCAGCGACTACCCTTACTTTCTCCTCTTATCTTTTCCTTTTTCAGTTAAGTTGCATCTTTGTATAGTAGCTACCTTTTCTCAAGTAATTTCTGAACTTTCCCAACTTAAAACAATTAAGAGAAAATTAAGGTGCACTTACATATGAAATCTAGGATCCCTGAAGCTGCCAGGAGCCCATCAGGTAAAATGAGTACAATTATTTAGTTTCTTTCTATCTGTGTGATCTGGCATAGGTAGTGAGTGTTCTCTATTATTTGGGATCTCCAGATAATAAGTTGCCAGTATATATTGTTTGTCTCAAGATAGTCTCTGGGATTCTCCAGTTTAAAACTTTTTAAAAGCCCTTCATTTTCCATGACTCTTATAATAGAAACTCTGGTCTTATCTATACCCCTTGCCATCACAAACAAGAGAGTTGATGAATCAAAGGCTATTCTTTGTTGTAATCTGTAAAGCATTATCTTTTTATTATTCTTCAATATCTTTTGTAATACTGTAGTTGTCATAGAAGAGGCCAAAATTTGAGAAAATGTATAAAGAAGTTGAAGATTTCAGATGACCTGGTTTAGAGCCTGTGTCACTTCAACTTTATTCATGAATTGTAACATCCTTTTGATAATAAGATCCATTTTCATCTTATCTTTTTTCCAGCTGCTCTTTTGTTAAAATATTCCAAAAAATCTGAATTATGGACAGCCCAGGAAACTGCTGTGTATTTGGGAGACTACCTGACTGTGAAGAAGAAAGGCCGACAAAGAAATGCTTTTTGGGTTCATTATCTCCATCAAGAAGAAATTCTGGGGAGGTATTGCTTAAAAACATCTATATTACTAATGGGATATGAACTAACTTTGTCCTTTTGTTAAGTAATTACACAGGAGATTTTGGCAAGGGCAGAAAAAAATTGGCCAAAGTGTGTGTTCTCAGAGGTCTACTCCTCTTCCTTTTCATCATTAATTAACTGATAGTACTTACATGTGCTGAGGACCCACATTATGTCAGCTATATTACTGGATGTTTTCAATACACGATCTCAAGTCCTTCAGGGAAACATTATTAGCAACATTGTACATATAAGAAAAATGGCGTTTCTGACCCCATAGCAAGCCAGAGAATCTTTAACACTCCCACGAAAATTGCTGGCAAAGAGGCTAGTTAAACTATGAATGGCACACTTTTAAGTAAAAATAGGTATGCCTGAAAAAATGCAGGAAAATCTTGATGCCAGGGACAGAGCATGACCAGGAACATAAGTGATGACTGAAGTCTTTAGGGGTCCTCCTTAGAAGTGTGGGGCAGGGATATGGTGAGGGTGTAGCCAGTGACAAAAGTCACATGCAGAAGGGAATGAGTTTAGCGACCACTCACACAAAGCAGGGACTCAGGAATGACCACTTCCTCAAGGGGAAGGTTACTCTAAAAAGCCCATCCCAGTGAAGCAAGTGCCTGGAAGCTTTCTGTTTGGCCTTCGTTACTTATGAGAACTTTAAGCAAAAACTCATCTGAAAACTTAGTAACTACAGGTGTTCCTCACTGGGTTTGAGACCTAATTTTACACCATTTATGAATTTTTAAAGTCCTAAAAGCCAAGACATTTGCTTTAAAGCTTACCCTGCTATTTGCCCAAATCCAAGTAGTGTAAGAAATAGAAAGAGAGAGAGAAATTAGGTGACTCTGTAAACAGTAAAAGTAGATTTCTTGAAAAGTACATTTACTGATTATTATATTATTATAATTGATTACTATTATGTTATTATAATTGATTATTATAATAATCAATAAATGTGTAAATGCACTTACCAGGTGCTGGGCCCTTTTTTAAGTATTTATATACTAATTTGGTTAACCCTCATAAAACCCTGTGAATCAGTTACTATTATCATTCCCATTTTCAGATGAGGGAACTGAGTCGCAGAGATGTTAAGGAATTGCTGAAAGTCACAAATCTGAGTGGTAAAGTCTGGTATTATGGACTGAATCGTAAAGACTGGTATTATGGACTGAATTGTGTCCTCCTAAAATTCATATGCTGAAGTTCCCTGAACCTCACACTATGATCTTATTTTGAAATAGAGTCATTGCAGATGTAAGTAGTTAAGATGAAGTCACACTGGAGTCGGGCAGGTTCCTAATTCAATATGACTGGTATCCTTATAAAAAGAAAAATTTGGAGATAGACACAGAGAGAATTCCATGTGAAGAGTGTAGTGATGCTACCTCAAGGCGAGGAACTACCAGAAGCCAGGAGTGAGGCCCAAAACTGATTTTTCCTTAGTACTTTCAGAGGGAACATGGCCCTGCCGGCACTTTGATATTGGACTTCCAGGCTTCAGAATGGTGAAAGAATCCATTTCTGGTGCTTATGCCACACAGACTGTGGAATAATCCATCTCTGGTGCATACACCACCCAGTCTGTGGCACTTTGTTACAGTAGTCGTAGGAAACTAATACGCCAGCATACCTCATAGGAGGATCTGAAATGAAAAATAAATTCAGAATAATAGACATGGAGAATGGAGAGGGAGGGTTCAACATACTTCTGATCAAAAGAAAGTAACACAGCAAATACAACAGAAGCAATATTTGAATAGATCATTTCTATAATTTTTCAGAATTGCCAAAAATATATAAATCTTACAATACAGGAATCAAAATGAATCCTAGGGAGGACAGAAAGGAAAGGAGGAAGGAAGTTAGAAGGAAGGAGAAAAGGAAGTAAGGCCGGCAATTATAAATCCACTCCTGCTGGGTGCAGTGGTTCGCCTGTAATCCCAGCATTTTGGGAGGCAGAGGTGAGAAGATTGCTTGACCCAGGGGTTCAAAATCAGCCTGGACAACTTGGCAAGACTTTGCCTCTACAATAAATCAAAAAACTAGTCAGGTGTGGTGGTGCATGCCTGTAGTTCCAGCTACCAGGAAGGCTGAGGCAGAAGGATTGCATAAGCCCAGCAGGTAGAGGCTGTGGTGACCATAAGTGTGCCACAACACTCCAGCTTGGGCAACAGAGTGAGATGCCTACTCGAAAAAAAAAAAATTCACTCCTAGGTAACAGTAGTCAAACTTCAGAGCATCAAGAACAAAGAAACAATCTTAAGAGAAGTCAAAGAAAAAGACAGATGATCCACAAAGACATCAAAGAAATGTCAATTAGACATGCAATTGACTTCGCAGTATATGACAATGGAAGTCAAATACTTAGTGAAACTGTCTTTCTTGGAGGAAGGTGAAATAAAGGGCTTTGCAAATTAAAAGGACAAAAAACTGTGACTGTTTACCACTAGCAAATCCTCGTTAAGGAAAAATAATCCAGGCCAGGCACAGTGGCTTAAACCCATAATTCTATCACTTGTCTAAGCCCGGGGGCTCAAGATCAGCCTGGGTAACCTGGCGAGACATCGTCTCTACAATAAATCAAAAAAATTAGCTGAACTTGATGGAGCATGCCTGTAATTCCAGCTACTTAGAAGACTGAGGCAGAAGGGTCACCTGAACTCAGCAAGTTGAGGCCGCAGTAGCCATGAGATTGCCACTGCATTCAAGGCTGGGTGTCAGAGTGAAACTTTGACAAGAAAGAAAGAAAGAAAGAGAGAGAGAGAGAGAGAGAGAGAGAGAGAGAGAAAGAAAGAAAGAAAGAAAGAGAAAGAGAGGGAGGGAGGGAAGGAAGGAAGGAGGGGAGAGGGGAGGAAGGAAATGAAAAATAATATGAGAAAAGGAATGGGCCTCTGTTCCTGGACTGATGATCCCATACCCAGGGCTGGAGGTCCTCTAACAGCATGTTAAGGAAATTCTTCAGAGCCAGCACCTGCAGGTCTGCTCTTTTGTGAACACATCTGGCATCGGTTTGCAAAGTTCTGAATTAGTTCAAACCCTCTGCAGGTCTTGGGGCTTTTCTGTAGCAAAACTGCCTGAAGCTCTGGGTGAGTATCCCTGCCATGACAACTGCCCCTCTGCAGGCTGCTTTCCTGATGCCATGCTGCCTCCACCCGCAGATTTCCTTTCTGATCTTCAGGAGTCTGAATGGCCAAAATCACAGCTATCTTGATTTCTATCATTATAATTATTGAATTCAGAAGTTTCTGGAGAGAGTTTACTCTGGTTGAGGTCTCAGACAATTCCCTTTGAGTCTTGGAGATCACTCTGGGTATACGTGAAATTACTCATAAATTCACACCTGCTTATAGCAAGTGTAAACTACAGTAAAGTGTGTGCTTACTGTTTTGCTCCTTTTCACACTTTATCATTTATTGACTTGTTTCTTTCCACCTCAACTGTGCTCTAAGCTTTTGGAGTATACAAATCATGTCTCACACTCTCTTCAAAACACTTAGGACTGGCATAGGACTACATAACAAGTGTCGATGGAAAGTAAGTACTTGTAGGAATGAAGTAATCATAAAAGGAAAGGACAGAGGAAGACATCCGATGGATTAATTAACCTGCACGAGGCCCACTGCAGGAAGTGAGAGATCTGACTCCAAAGCCTATGCGCAGCCAATGCAGCGTGCTAATCCCCTCATCTTACCAGAGGCCTGGAAAACTGCATGAAGTGAACACTTTCCTTTTATAACTAATATCATTCTGGGTTAGCTAGCATGAACTGTGTTCCATTGTTCAGGTGGTTCTTTAAAAAAGTATCTGCCTGGGCAACTTGGTGAGACCTCATCTCTGCAGTAAATAAAAAATTAGCCGGGCGTAGTGGCACGCACCTGTAGTTCCAGCTACTTGGAAGGCTGAGGCGGAAGAATCGCCAGAGCCCAGCAGGTACAGGCTGCGGTCAGGCTGCGGTGAGGCTGCGGTGGCTGGGAGCGGCCACTGCACCCCAGTCTGGGCGACAGAGTGAGACTCCAACTCAAAATTAATTAATTAATTAATTAAAAAGTATCTGAATCACAAGTTGAAACTACTTTTCGATTAAGGCAGATAAAGAGTAACATCTTTCAGCCGAGTGTGGTGTAATCCCAGCACTTTGGGAGGCCAAGGTGAGTGGATTGCCTGAGCCTGCGGGTTCGAGACCAGTTGGGCAACTTGGCGAGACCTCATCTCTACAATAAATCGAAAACTAGCCGAGCTTGGCAGTGCGCACCTGTAGTTCCGGCTACTTGGAAGGCTGCGGTGGAAGGATCGCCTGAACCCAGCAGGTGACACTGGGGTGACCGTGAGTGTGCCACTGCACTCCAGCCTGGGTAATGGAGTGAGACTCCAACTCAAAAAAAAGTGACGTCTTTCAAGCATTTTTACATATATCTTTTGCTCTCCTCTCTTACTCCATAGTTGTGTGGATTTTCTCCATTCACAGATATGTTGGGAAAGAATATAAGGAACAGAAGGGTCTCTGGCACCACTTCACTGATGTGGAGCGGCAGATGACTGCCCAGCACTACGTGACAGAATTTAACAAGAGGCTGTACGAACAGAACATTCCGACACAGATATTCTACGTCCCCTCTACAATATTACTGGTAAGATGACAGGGATCGAGGGCTTGGTTAAACAGGCCCCAAAATATATATTATGTTAGATTTCTATGACCAACTTGTGTACCTCTACTACTGTCGCTCTGGCAAAATCCAACAGACTCAGTTTCCAGCCTTCCTCATCTACTTCACCTGCTTTCATCTGCTTAGACATGCAATAAATATGACTTCCTGTGCTCATTATCTGGATCTTCCAAATCACACTTGGATAGCAGTTGACCCTGGTAGCTGGTCCCACTTAGTCAGGTTAGCCTGTTTTGTAAACTTGCCTTTTGGATTGTCTCCTTTCTGAGAGAGAAAGGACCCTAAAGATCATATCTGTACAAATTATTCCTTCAACAGGATGCATAAATCCCCCCTTTTACCTCTGAGGGTCCTCACCTCTTGTAACCAAGTGACTCTTAAGCCACAGCTTAAATACATTTAGTGTTTACAAATACATTTACATTATTACCCTTTTACTTTCAATAGGTATTTAGTAAGAAAACATTACTATTACCTTTTAGTAAGAAAACGTCATTTAGTTTAGTAAACCTGTAAAAATACGTTTCATAAGAAAACATCATTGCTACTCTATTACTTGTTACTTTCAAATAATTATAATTGTTAGAAAGTTCTTAGATTTGGCCCAAATCTACCCTTCTCCTACTTCTACCTGTGGATTGCAGCTCTGCTTTTGAAACCACTGAGATCAAGCTCTCTTTACTGAGATAAAGGCAAACATTACCATTGAGGGTTCTCTTGTTTGGGTCATGAATATCCTGCTCCTCCAAATACATTAGATCCTTAGTACATTCATACTTACAATAATTTTTTCAGACATTTTTAGACCTTTTCTTATTTATCAGTAATAGCTATCATCTATTTTGCACTCTCTTATTGTCACTTATTTATGTGCTAGTCATTTTACAAATGCTAACCCGTAAAACAACTCCACAAAGTAGATCGTGTTACACAGAAATGCTTGCACTAATATTCCCCTCCACAGTCCCAGAGTATGACCTAGTTGTGTGCCCTAGTAAGCAAGTTTCCAGGAAAACTCACTTCATGACCTAACTTATAAGTGAGCAGTTTGATATATAAATAATCATAACTTTAGACTCTATTATATGACACCTGTAATGGTAAGCAATTTACATGCATTTAATTTTTTTTTTTTTTTTTTTTTTTTTTTTTTTTTTTTTTTTTAAAGTCGAGGTCTCACATTGTCACCCAGGCTGGAGTGCAGTGGGGAGATCATAGCTCATTGCAGCCTTGAACTTCAGGGCTCAAATGATTCTCCTGCTTCAGCCTCCCAAGTAGCTAGGACAACACATATACCACCACACCTGGTTAGCTTTATTTGTTTAAAATATGCCACTTAACAAGACTAAAAAGTAGTTACTATTATACCAACTTTACAGACAAGGAAATTGAAGTGTAGAGAAGCAATGTAGCAAAGCTCCCAAGTGGCAGAGCCCATGTTCAAACCAAGATCTACCCAAGTCCACAGACGCTGGCTTTTATCACTCTGCTATACTGTTAACCATTTCTGTTTTTCAGATTTTAGAGGGCAAGACAATAAAGGGGTGTATCAGTGTGGAACCTTACATACTGGGAGAATTTGTAAAATTATCAAATAACACAAAAGTGGTGAAAACAGAATACAAAGCCACGGAATATGGCTTGGCTTATGGCCATTTTTCTTATGAGTTTTCTAATCATAGAGATGTTGTGGTTGATTTACAAGGTATGTGAAACTGGAAATTATTTTTTATTTTTAATACTCTATGTAAATGTGAGGTTTTGTAATGAACTTCACTAATCATTATATAATAGATTGGTGTATGAGCTACTATTTAGAATTAAATAAATTGATCTTACTAAATGTAACAAATGATTCTTGAAAGAAAAAAATGCTTAAAACTTCTACAAGTGTTGCATAATCAGTAAGAAGGTCTGGCTCATATTCTGTCGGGCTTAATTCCAGAGCAAATACATAACAACTCTTTTAATTTTACTCAAGTAGCTTTGAATGATGTCAATTTCTTATTATTGCATATTTTTTCATATTTCAAACTCTTCTTTCTATTTTTCCTATTCTCCAGTCCCTTATCCTTATTAAAAGTATGATGTTGGGTTTCACAATGGAACAGAAAATTGTTTGTTTGTGCATCTTATTTCTTTTAAAATCTACATTAATATTTTTATTTTGTTTCAATTTGTCTGATATTTTGTTATTCAGAATTCTTACTAGCAAACACTATATGCTTAATGTAAATGACAAAGGAGATATATTATATTTCTAGTAATGATTCCATAACCACCCCAAGATCTTTCCTATTCCTCCCCCATGGTATTTATCACTCTGTCATATACATAGTTACTTATACATAGTTTTTTATCTGTCCCCCTTCATAAGAACGTTGGCTCAATGAATACAAAAAAAAATTTTTTTTTTCATTAATCAGTATTTTTTATTATGGTTTTGTGGGGTACAGTTAAGGGTTAGGTGTACAATTACGTTTCATTCAGGCACCCTGTAGATAAGAAGTGTTTACCCATCCCCCGACAGATATTTGCTACTGTTAATCCCATCCCCCTCCCCCCCATAGTTTCCCAGTACCATCAGTCATTTTCTCATAGTATTGCATTGGATGTTCAAGGTCCATTATATGAGTGAGAACATGTGATATTCGGATATTTGTTTTAGTGAGAGGTCACTCAGTATTATAGACTCTAGGTTCCATCCAGGTTGCAGCGAAAATTCATGATTTT